AGCAGCCTACAAGCAGCTGAGATAAGCATTCCGGGAGTATGCGAGATCTAAGGTAGGGTTCTCGGTTTCCCTTCAAGCTCTCAGCTCATATAAGTTTGGAGCTTTGATCAAATCCATCTAGGGTTCATGTGTTCCCCTTCTTGCTCCCCCCACCACCCACCCGCCACGATGGAACTTTCCTGTTTTCAAGCTGTTTAAAGTTTTTCTTCAAACAGGCCCTGGACTCATGCCAACTCTTTGCTCTCCCAGGACCCACAGGCGTCTTGTCACCTCTGGGTGTCCCCACTCTTTGCCCAGTTGCAGCTTCAGGTTCTATGCATTTGTCCGGGTCTTGGGTGTGTTGTGCTCCCCTAAATCCATCATCTCTTCTCACTCCTTAGTCGGCTTCTCTGCAGATTTTCCATGTCCTCCTTTTTGGGAACTTTCCCTCCCTTCCCTGTCCTGCACGGTTCCTTCTCTGGCTTCTTTCTCCTGCTGAGTTTTGTTTATTTTTATAGCCCATGGGACAGTGTTATAGTGAGCTCCCAGTAGATCCTTGAGTGCATGACCTCCTCCTCCTCCTCCCACCCCGCCAAAATTCAAATTTGGAATTAAAACATCCGAGAGGAAAAACGATGGAGGAAGGAAAGGTTGGATTTCAATGGTCCTCGGGCTCTCAAAAAACTTCCAGAGAATTGTGAAGTCAAAATAGACACTGGAAGCGAGTGAGACATCTTAAGTCAAGGCTGCCACCTAGCGGGGGATAGGAAAGCAGGCCGGGCCGAGGACCGCTCTGACAGTTGGGTTTTACTTTTCAGAACATGTCATGCGTTAAACCTTTCAAAGACAAGAACAGCAAAGGAAAGGGAAGAAAAATATCCACATCCAGAGCTTTCCAACGCGACAGCTCCTGGGACTACGCGCTTCCTCTCTCCTATCCCCTTTTCTTTCAAGCTCTGACAATATCTCAATTTACTGTTTCTACTCCTTACTTGAGGTTCCTGTCCCCTTTTTCCTTCTGAGAACCTCCATCTGTTGTGTATTGTATTTCCCTGTGCTCCCGGCCTCACTGGGTCCTTCTCATCCTCTTCATGCCTGAAACTCTCAGGCTTGCTCACTCTCTGGCTCTCCCCGACTAGCTTACATTTGCTGGCTCCATTTTCTTAGCTCTGGCACATTCCTTGGCTCCAGCAATCAGGCTGCTACAGGAACAAGTCCTGGCTTTCAGACTAGATCCTCAGACCTCCTAGCATCTGCGCTAGCATCACAGAATGCTGTGAGCCACCCCCAGCTCCCATTGGGTAGGTGAAACTCTTTCCTTGGCTTCCAGGACCCCCTTCTCACCTGGGTTTCTTCTCATTGTTCTTTCTCTGGCTCCTTCTCCACTCTACCCATTCCTTCAATGCTGGGTTGGATCCTAGGCTGCCTTCAACCTTTCTGACCCTTCCTCCTCCCTTACTCTATCTATATAGACTACCTGTCACACATCAAGGCCTCACATATTAATATCTCCACCTGAACCCACCCACTTTTCTCAGGGTCCTTACCATTCTGGTTGGATTGTCATGTCTCATCCATATTTCTACTAACTTACTAACTGGCTTCCATAGCTGCATCTTTGTCACCTTTGTTTCCCACGATGTGTTCAGTCAGGGACACATTTTTAACGTCACTCTCTTGTTTAAAGCTACTTCCCTGGCAGGTGAAGTTCAGACCTGGTCTACTTGAATGGCCCCATTGACCTCTTCAGCTTAGAACCTCATCTTTCTCTATCTCTGGGTTTTAGCTTCTGGAAAAATAACTTCATTCTTTTCCTTGAATGAGCCACATCTCTTTCTCTCTTTCTCTGTTCCCCTTCCAGAACATTGCCCTTCTTATTTCCCTGCCGGGAACATACTTTCCTCTTTCTGGATAACTTTTGTTCTTTCTCATCAGTTCTCATCTTTCTGTAAGGCCCCAGTTTCAGGTAAACTCCTTTTCTATGTGAGCTGCAGTACTGAGCCTTCTTCCCTATTAGAGTTCTTGTCAAATCTCAGTACACACCGTGTCTTTCCTTTCCACTGCAAACTGCCACCAGAATATTGCTGACATGATTCTACTCATGCCACACTCCTTTCTCATGCAACCACTCCAAAAACATATTCTACATGACACTGGTTCCAAGGGGTATGAATGGTATGTGATAAAAAAAGAGTTGCATGATGATATAGATTTAGAACAAAGAATTTTAACACAGCTGAACACTACCTCCCCTGCCTCTTACAGGACTTCTCAGAGCCCTTTATATACTAATGTATATTGTGAGTTTCCAAGAGGGCAAACAGCAGTCAGTGTTTCCCAATCTTACTTGGTCATGGAATTCTTTTACCATGGGGCATCTCAAGGTATTAATGTTTCAGGGTTAGAAATATTGTTTTAGTAGCTGTTATCTACAGAACACAATTTGTATTCTTTTGCATAGGCCTGAGAACAAGGCCCTATGAAACTACAACATCTGGATTCAAATTAGCTCTGTGACACTGGACAAATTATTAGTCTTCATGCCTTTCTTTCTTTGTCTACAGTAGAGGCTAATAATACAGTATGCCATAGTGTTGTTTTAAGGGTTAGAGTTACTGCTATTAATAGTACATGCAAAGTTTGTGGACAGTGCCTTGCCCCAATGGTAAGGGCCCAGTGTCAGCTATTATTTATTTTTTTTTTTTGGTGGTATTTCACCATCTGTTTTCTTCATTCTCACTTCTTCCTACAAGGGTATGACCAGACTTTACTTCTGGATCCTGGAACTGCATCTCTTGGTCTCTGGTGTTGCCCTTCCATCTGCCTGAAATTCCCCTCTAGTCCGTCTCCTTTCCCCTCCATTTATCTTTACTTGTTAGTTCAAACTTCCCATGTTCTCCCAGGCCCAGAGGTGCACTTGTATGTTCAACACTATTTATCAAGCAACTAC